CAGCTTTTATATCGCGTGGGAACCTTGCTGTACAGGAATTGTCAGCAGCTCTGCCTGACAGACAGCTCTGAGACAGCTGAGGCTCATGCCTCTCATCTTTCCCTTGTATTAATTTAGAAATTCAGTTACCAGTACATTTTTCATTTCTTACAGGCACTAATAAACCCCTAAAACATATAACTCTGCAACGTGCTGCAGTGGTTGAGTGTGTAATCACACCCAAACAGAGCTATTACAACATAAAAGTCTGAATCACCCAAAACTTCAGACTTCATAAAAAGTCTGAACTCCACCAAGTGTGGAAATCCAAACGTGAGGCCAAGAATCTGCAATATGGAGCTCTATTGATAATAATGGGGCTGTCAAGGGCTAAAAAAGGTTTTTTCAAAAGGTTGAATGTGCATCAGCACAGGCTGTTAATTCCCCTGGTCTTTCACTCTGCTTTCCCTAGGTTCAAAGCAGGAGCTGAACTTTTAATTGGGGCTTTTAGACAGAGAAAGCTGTAGTTAAGGTTACACTGAAACGCCCTGTTAAGCATGTGAAAACAAGTTAATACACTAGAATATGGTCTGGTGGAGCTCAGACTTTTCCTGCTTTCCTACTGTCCAAGGGCATCTGTTTCCTCTGGTAGGGTGAGGAAAATCTCTTCAGCCATTTTGCTTATGGGAAAATACTTTCAACATTTACAAGCTTTGAGAGTTTCTTTTGCATGCTAATTCCTCTGAAGCAGCTATTCAAATCTCTACCAACTTTGCCCACTTGACAGGTTGGCCAGAGATGCTTTGCTGTCAGTTAGACTTTAGCAACAGGCTTGGGATAATTTCACACCTGATGTGCCCACAGAGTTTGCCTTTTGAAGTATTAAACACGTATGTGGTCATTTGGCTTGAAGGGATTTGACAAATAACTGCTGACAGTGAATATATTACACCTTGACAGCTGTGGTTGGTCTGCCCCAAAATGGGTCAGCATCTGTGTGCAGGTAAGAGTCAGGCTCCAACCAGGCAATGCTTTAGTGCCCAAGTGCAATAGCCCTTCAATATTCCCCATAGTCACTAAAATGTCAGTGCTGTTGCCAGATAATGCTGACAAGTCTTGAAAACATCAAGAGCAAAGCCATTGGGAGGTTCATGCTTTGGTAGAAATCAAAATGAAAGCAAGAATTTGGGGCTCAAGGCTCAGAGGAGGCTGCCTGTACTATCTGTAGGAGCTAAACAGATTATCAAACCAATTAAGTTGTGCTGCAATCCCTCCAAACATTCTGAGATCCAAAGGCATACAACATTCTTCAATGCAAGGACATAAGTAATATTTCCTTATGGCTGCAAGTCTCTAAAACACAGCACACGATTACACTATGCCAGAGAAAGAATTTCAATCTACACCACTTCTTTAGGAGAACAAAAATGCCAAGTCTACTTTATTTCATCTCAAATCATCACGAAAATGACTTATCCAGATGAGGTCCAGGCAATCAGACTGTTTTGAGTCCACACTAATCACCCATGAGCAGAGCCACCAGTGACCCCACGTAACACAACGAGCACTCAACGACACATACCTCTCCCCAGTCTTGCTGCAACCAACTCTCAAGCACTTGGCAGGTGAGTTAAAAACCTGCATTACTGCACTTGCTGGACAGTGAGGCTATGAATTAGGAATTCCTGGAAGAAGTGCTCCTTACCTGAGTGGATGAGCATGTGTTGCTTTAGGTTCTGAATGCGGGTGAAGCGAACCCCACAGGTGGGGCACTGAAAGGGCCTGTCGGGACCGTTGGGGCTGGGCCTCTCTGTGCTGCTGGTGGAAGGAGCAATGTAGAGTTGGTAGGGATACTGCACATTCTCCAACCTGCAAAGGAAAAAAGGCATTGATTTACAAGCAAGCTGGAGAAATAAAGGAAGAAGCTTTGTGGATATCTGAACCTTGAGTACATTTGTATGAGAAGCAAGATTTGCACGTCACGTTGCTGCTGGAATCTCTCTGTAGAGCAGTGTCTGATCTGCACCTGAAGCCTTATAGACACTGACTCTGCACAACCAGGGAATAACCTCTCAGTTGTGTTTCTTTGGGCACCAGCTGCAGCTGAACTCTCTTTTCCAGGCATGGGCACTTTCTCAGGCATATCGATGACTTGCAAGCAGTAAACAGTCCCTGAGGAAGGAGTCAAAGAGCTGAGCAAATTGAAAGCAAAGGAGTATTTTGCAGCTTTGGTGATATTTACAGATGAAATTAAAGCCAATTCATTTTTCATTTCCATCCAAGTTCCTTGAACAAATATTAGTATCTACAATTACATATTTCTAGGTTTAAAACATTAATCTTCAAAGTTTAAAACATTAATCTAATGAATCAACAGTTGCTCTTTGTGTGACTCAAACAGCTCCATGAGAGCAGCTCAGGCTCTGTGTTTAAAAAGCAGCACACAGACTGTAATAAGGAACAATTTACCTTTCAAAGTAATTTATTTAAAACTGACTAATTGCTCCTCCATAGCCTCTAGCTGCAAACTGTTTAGGGGAACTACAGTGCTCTAATCCAAGTCCTCTGGCAAGGAACTTGCTTTGCTGAAGGGCACACTGGAATAAAAACAAACCTCCTGCTGCACATATAGGAACAACAGGAGTTTGGACTTACCTGGGGTTTCCCTTCCCTGAGTACTAGGGTCTATATTTTTGTCATATTTTTGACATTTCAGCTTGCTCACAGCCTGATGAAGATCAGACAACACTGGCAGCAGGAACTGCTCTGACCCTGAATATTCATTCCACGAGAATTTTAGCTTTACTGAACTGTAATGTCTGAAATGTCCTAAGAGTACAAAGATGTCTCATCTCACACGGTCAGAATGTTTCCCTAGCCGAGGATACCCTGCTGCTGCTCTGCTTCCACTCTGAGCCCAGAGGACTGGTTCCAAGGTTAGGCTGGATTTGTAGAGTTCTAACATTCACAGCACTTTGCACAAACACATTTCCCTAC